TAAAATTTATATATTAAAAATTAAAAAAATAAACTAAATTGATTAAAAATGAATTAAAAATGATTTAGAAATAATTTTTTTTACTAATTTTTTTATATAATCTTTTTTTTTTTGAACAGCAAATATATTCTTTATTAATAAACGGAATACAAGGGGTACTCCAAACCTATTAACAACAAAAAGTTAACATAAGGTGTCGACACCCAAAAAAAAGTGTCGACACTATACCCGTGACGGGAATTCTGCCTTCTTTTGTATTCTCAATAAATCTCCCTGATCAGATCATCAAACCTTCGCCCATCACGCCCACAGACCCAGAAGACCTTGATCATGTATTGACTACAGCTAAAATCCACTACAGTCAATAATTGCTCAAAAAAGCCTTAATGAGTCCCCATAATACAGCCATTCACCCTTCAAAACAAAAGCCATAGACAAACCATCCATATATCATCTACACCCTCCCCTCCCACAGATTATTCATTAGGTACCCTTCTTTTCCTATGGCAATCTTTCAAGCATGCAACTGGATTTATAAACCAATCCGTTAGAGTGAAGGCATACCTCTCTTTTTTTGCTGTGATCCAATGGAACGATTTTAATTGGATGAGTTCCAGCAGCTTCTCCCGGTTAATCTCTTTGCCTTGGAATACTTTTTGATTTCGAGCCAGCCACACTGTCCACACTAGAGAGTTCCAAATGCAATCCCATCCATCCCTAATAGCTTTCTCTTTTGGTTCTCTTCCAGCAACTTGATAGGTATTCCAGCAGTCCTCTTCCAGTGTAACATTAATATTCCACCATTTCGCGCAAGCCATCCATAACCACCGGACCATGTTACACTTTAGAAACAGATGCTTTGTGTCCTCTTCTTCCTCACCGCATATTCCGCACTTGCAATCTTGAATGTCTTTGATGATCCCTCTTGACAGCAAGTTCATTTTAGTTGGAATCCTGTCTAATAGTAATTGCCAGTTGAATGCCGAAACTTTGCTTGGCAAAATGGAACTCCAAATTCTTGTGAAGGTTGTTGTTTCCGATGCTTCCTTCTCATCTTTTGTTAACATTGCATATGCAGATTTTGTTGAATATTGGCCATCCTTGCTGTGGGTCCATTCCCAGCTATCCATGCATCCTTGTGTCGTCTGCACGCTTTGAATCATGTTGTGTAATTCCATTGCCTCTTCCTTTTCCCAATCGAACAAATTCCTTCTCCAATTTATCTTCCACTCCCACACCCCGTTTGTTCTACAACCCATTTCACTGCACATCTTCGTCTTCTCTGTTGATAAAAGATACAGTCTTGGGAACCTATTAGCAAGATATTCCTCTCCCCTCCACTTATCCCACCAGAAGCTAACAGTGTTACCCTCCCCAACTTTAGCCCTAAAGCCCTCTTTTAGCCATCCATTACTGCCCCCTTCTATTGTGTTGATTCCACTCACATCCCTCCACCAAGTTGAACCTACTCCTCTACTTTCATCTAGCCAATCTTGCCAATGACCTCCTCCCTTACCATACTTCTCAACAATAATTTTTTTCCATAAGCCCTCCCCATTTTCTGCTAACCTTCCCCACCATTTGCCCATCAATGCCAAATTGAATTTCCTCAACTCCCTCACTCCTAAACCTCCTTCCTCTTTTTTTTTACACACATTATCCCAACTAATCCAATTAATTTTTCTCTCATCTCCCTTCCCCCCCCATAAAAAGCTTCTTCGTAATTTATCAATTGAATGAATTATACCTTTCGGGATAACATATATAGACATCAAGAACACTGGCAGACTTGACAGCACTGAATTGATGAGTGTGATGCGCCCTCCCATGGATAGATACCGACCCCTCCAGCTGACTAACTTCCTTCTAACGGACTCCACCAACGGCTGCCACATAGCTCTTCTTCTATGATTCCCTCCAATTGGTATACCCAGATACCTAAATGGCAATTTCCCTTCCTTGCAGCATAGTTGATATGCCATTTTAGCACACCAACTTCGATCAACTCCCACACCAATCAACTGGCTCTTTCTGAAATTAATCTTCAATCCTGAGGTTAACTCGAATGTCCGCATAATACATTTGATCACCCTGATATTGTCTTCCGTTGCATCGCCAAAGAAGATTGTGTCGTCCGCGAATTGAAGGTGCGTGACCATCACATCTCCTCTCCCAATTACCACTCCTTTGTACTTCTCTTTCTCCACTGCTGATGCCACTAGTCCATTCAATCCCTCTGCCACTATCAGAAACAAAAACGGGGATAATGGGTCTCCTTGACGGATACCTTTATTTACCGAGAATTGGTTCGTCGGGCTGCCATTGATTAGGATAGACACCGAGCTGGATTTCAAGCACTCCTGAATCCAATTCCTCCAAGTTGCACAAAATCCCATCCTCATCATCATGTATTCAATGAATTCCCAGCATACCTTGTCGTAGGCTTTCTCGAAATCAACTTTAAATAAAAATCCCTTCTTCTTTTTTCTCTTGATTTCATCAATAACCTCATTTGCAATCACTGCTCCCTCCACTAGCTACCTTCCTTCAATAAACGCCATCTGCTGCTCCCCAATCACCTTGGGTAGCACCTTCCGTAATCGATTCGCTAGAAGCTTTGCAATGATTTTGTATATGACTCCTATCAAGGAAATGGGTCTAAATTCCTCAATTGCTTGTGCATTTTCTGTTTTAGGAATTAGCACTATAAAGGAGGCATTTGACCCTTTGACCAGTCGGCCATATTGTTGGAACTCCCGAACCAAGTTGAATATATCAGATTTTATAACATCCCACATTGTCATGATGAATCTGAAGTTAAATCCATCTGGTCCTGGGGATTTGGCTGGATCACAGTTCCAAATTGCTTCTTTAATCTCCTGTTCTGAGAAAGTAGCCGTGAGGAACTCATTATCAGTCTTTGTGATCTGCCTGAAGCATATTCCATCTAACTTTGGTCTTCTCCATTTTTCTTCTGTAAACAATTCCTGGAAGTACTTAGCAATCTCTTGCTTTATTACCTCCACTCCTGTATGTTGTTCCCCATTTATCCGGATACTATTGATTTCGTTCCTGCTCCATCTTCCCTTGATGCTTCTGTGGAAAAACTTTGTATTCGCGTCCCCTTCCTTCAGCCACAGCTTTCTTGCTTTTTGTTGACTCATCCTCTCCTTGATTTTTAAGTTTTTCCCCAATTCGATAAAACCGTTCCTCCTCAATTCAATATCGTTATCTGTCAGCTGGAATTGCTCTCCTTTCTCATCAACTGAAGCAATCACACGCTCTGCATTCTTTATTCTTTCATCCATCTCCCTGTTGGATTTGCCACTCCACTCCTTTAGTGCCTTCTTTGTTCTTTTGAGTTTTTCTTTTATTTTAAATCCATTCCACCCCTCCACTTCGTTATCACACCATGCTCTTGTAATCACCTCCTTGCAACCCGGTTGATCCAACCAAGCATCGAAAAATCTAAACGGTTTTGGGCCCCAGTCGACCTGCTCATTTCTTATCAGTATTGGGCAGTGATCTGATACCGACCTCTTCAATCCCCACTGTTTCATTTCACTCCACTTTGACATCCATTCTTCAGAAAACAGAAATCTATCAATCCTGCTCATTTGAAGCCCATTTGAATTATACCAAGTGTATTTTCTCCCTATCAATGGCAAATCAACCAAATCAGAATTGTGAATGAAAGCTTCAAACTCCCTCATTTCATTGGACACTGCCTTACATCCTGCTCTTTCCTCCATCCTCCTTACAGCGTTGAAATCCCCTGCTAAACACCACATCCCCCTTCTATTATTAATAAGACCTTGCAGCTCCTCCCATAAGGCTCTTTTTTTTTTATATGACATGGAGAAAATATAATCTTACATATCATTTAAATAACTAACTTTTTTTATTAATTTGAAATATATGATATTGAGTGCATGATATATGAAAGTTATATAAAAAAT